ATTACAGTAAATTACAGCTTTCAAGCCTCACAACTCGGAAAATACTCAACGAAAATAAACTTTCTTGTAGTGTTTTGGAAAGGTCTCGAAATCGGCAAGGTTAGAAAAATTCAAAATGACGGATCCAATATGGCGGTTGAAGGTTAAGGTCAAGGTTAAGCTCACAGCCAATGTCACCATCGAATAGTCTACAACTTTCCAAACAACAGTCCAAATTCGAGAAAATTAAGAATTTTTGTCTACCATGTTAGATTTGTCCGCCATATTGAATCTACCATCTTGAATTGATTTCAGATTCGAAATCAGCAACCTAAAAAACCCCCAGAAAAAAATTTTGGTGTATTTTAGTTTACAATTGTCGTCTACCACTTTTGGCACAAAATTTGGAAAAAAGCCACTTAACCGGTTAAATATTGAGTTGTGAGACTGCAGTAATTCTATCTTTAAATCGGGTTTATTTTACTTACGCTAATGTGAATATTAGTAGTTCATCAATTTGAATGTTCATCATTGAGTACTCTTCTTGCTTCTGCCATTTCATTATTACTTTCAAGAACTGTGTGTAACTTTCTTCTCTGATACAGCTGTTTTTTCTTTGATAGCTTATCTCTGTAATTTTTAATCAGGCGTCTTTATCGCTGTTCATGTTGTTTTTCTTTTCATTTTTTGAACGTCTTGGATTTTTCCTACACCTTAAGATAACATGGCTCCTCTCACTGAACGTGAGCGAATACTTATTCTTATGATGAAAGGCTATGGAAATATGACGAGATCTAATGAAGATGTACAGATTTTATTCAACGATACTTTTAGGGTAGGAGCTGAACAGATATCCAAGTCGACTGTACAAAGGACAATTGCACGTTTCAATTTGAGTGGAAGTGTAAAGGATCTTCCTAGATCGGGTCGCCCTGTTGCAGCAACTAATCCAGAAAAACAGCTGGATGTTGCTCTCTCAGTTATTGAAGATCGTCACAGTACGGTTAGGAAATTAAAACAGCAACATGATATTAGTGTTGGATCTACACATAATATTTTGACAAAAAATTTAAGGTTCCATCCATACAAAATTAAACTTGTACATGAACTGCTTGAAGATGATTCTGATAGACGCCTTCAGTTTTGTGAATTGATGATGGCCCAAATAGATGCTGATGGAAATTTATTGAATAGAATTTTATTTTCAGACGAAGCTACGTTTGAACTTAATGGCAATGTCAATAGGCATAATTTTAGGTTCTGGAGCGATAACAACCCAAGATGGATGTCTGATACTCGCAATACTCAATATCCTGAAAAATTGAATGTCTGGGCCGGGATTATTAATAACAGAATAGTTGGGCCCTTCTTCATTGACGGAAATCTTACTGCGGTGAAGTACGAAGAGATGTTGCGAAATACAATCATACCGGCGATTCAGGCAATTGTGGGCGATGATTTTCATCAGACGTGGTTTCAGCAAGATGGTGCAGCTCCTCATTATGGCCGAGATGTTCGTGCCTACTTAAACACAGTATTTCCAGCGAGGTGGATAGGGAGAAGAGGAGCTATAGAATGGCCAGCCAGATCCCCTGATCTTACACCACTTGATTATTTTTTGTGGGGTTATCTCAAAGATAGGGTATATCGAACGAAACCAGCAAACCTCGAAGAACTTCAACAGAGAATAAGAGATGAAATTATTGCCATTGATGCAGACATGATTCGCCAAGCTGTAGCAGCATTTTACAACCGCATAGCGTATTGCCAGACAGCTGGGGGCGAAAACTTTGAGCATTTGCTCAAATAAATAACTTCCAATCCTGCTGCAATTGCCTGGCTTTACCCTTCCATCCCATAAACGGCTGGGATGCTCATCAGCCTTGCCTTCATTGGCCGGGCATCACCCAACCTTGCCCTAACCGGCTGAGATCCAACCAGAAGATCCAACCAGCGCACACACGCACACACACAGCAGAGAAGGTTTGGAGTCGTTAACTACTGTGGAAATGACGAACCACGGGGTCCCTATCTCTCCTGTGAACACATTTGCACACACACGCACACACACAGCCTTC